AAATTTTAAAATTTACTAAAGTTTTGTAAATTTTAAAATTTACTAAAGTTAAAATTTACTAAAGTTTTGGAAATTTTAAAATTTACTAAAATTTTGAAATTTACTAAAATTTTGAAATTTACTAGAATTTTGTAAATTTTAAAATTTACTAAAGTTTTAAAATTTTTAAAATTTGCTAAAGTTTTGAAAATTTCAAAATTTACTAAAGTTTTTTGAAAATTATACTAAAGTTTTGAAAATTTTAAAATTTACTAAAATTTTGAAAATTTTCGATTTTATAGCCATAGCATAGCCCTAGGTTAATTTGTTTGTATTTTTTTCCTTCAAACATTTGTCGGATTCGTAAAAAAATATAAACTATATAAATTAAAAAAAACATATTTTTTAGTATCCAAATTATAATGTTTCTTTGAATTCCTTCAATTGAATGAAAGAGCATGCATTGCATGGCGAAACCATTTTAGCCAATAAAAAAAATATCTATGAATGAATCAGATTACAGTAGATCAGTGCCCTCAGAAGAGGACGAGTAAGAAAAACTCTCTATCTCATAATATTGAAGCATGAGATCTTATAAACTTTATTTATTCAAATAACCAAGAAAGACCTTCATGAGATTGGACCAATAATAATAAATAGTCCAAATAAACCCCCCCCCCCCTTTAAAATAAATAGATGTAGAACACTTTATTTGTCTAGAGATTGGTTTTTAATTTAATTTTTTAAAAGGTTCAAAATTCCTTAGAAATAATTTTAATCGTACCTGATGAAGTGACTATTATTTATTTATATTGGCAAAAAGCAATTAAAAACAAAGGTGTTTAATAAATGAAGCTTTCCAACGCAAACCCCTATTATTAGATGAGCTTTGCCATCATAGCCTGATCCGAGAAATTTTTTTAAAAAAAAAAACGGATTAGACTTCGCATACCCAACTTAAGGTTTATTTTTAGATCTAACATTTAACACGCCCACCATATCTAGCATGCTGACGCATTCATTGTGATCTATCGAAAGACAATAGAGAACCAATCACCTATTCCGGTGGACTTTAAATGATGGCAAGATGGAGGAGGAGACTGGGATTGGATGGCAAGGATTTTGTTTTTTCTTTGTGCTATAAATTTTTATTTCACTTCGACCCATTTCGTAAATTGTATCAATATGATAACAAACAAGCATTCCCCTACAAAACAAAACAAAAAATCTGAATATACGAGCTAGGGTTCATAACAAGTGTTCAATATTTAAAAGGGATTCAAATAATAATTCGGATATTTTCGATTTCATATATTCAAATAAATTTCTTTGTTATTCGATCCGATCCGATCAAATAGAGGAATAAATTTGTATTTTCAAATATTATTCAAGAATAATAAAAATTATTTTTAAATGTTAATAATTTCTTATAACAATTTTAGTGGCCTAAATTAATCTTTTAACCAAAAAAATAATATTACCTATTAGGAATTTCAAATAAAACAGCTGTTGTAGCGGCCATTTCCTTGAGTTGAACCGATATCTTATAATAAACAATCATTTTCAAAAAAAAAAAATTAGTATCAACGTTAATAAATTTTAAAAATACTCCCCTAGGAAAATATAGCCACGCGTATAAACTAACCAACTTATTTATTTATTTTTACACTTAACTTTATGTATATACTAATTCCCGTAAAATGTAAGTCTGCCAATATTTTTTTTTAAAATTAACATATTTTCGAGTTATATTATGTTAATTCTAGTGGTTATACTCACAAAATTCTTAGCATTTAACAGTCGTATACTCTATTCGTTCTTTTGATGAATAATATTAGTTATCGAATTATTTATTCGAATATCCGAGTCCGAGATATCATGAATATTCATTTAAAATAAAATACTCAATTCAATTCGAAAAATGGAAGATCAGTTTTGCCGCTAATTTTTTTTATTTTTCAATATTTTTTTTATTTTGAGAGGATACTGGGTTATTTATTATCTTATCTTCCCTATTTTTACCATTTCACCACTTATATCTTGACATATGTAGGTGGTGAGCAATTTTTAATTTGATTACATTGGAAATTAAATCCATGGTCTTAATCTTCGTATGATGTTTACAGAAGAACGAGAAATTCGTCTGGTTGGAACTGTGAGTCTGCCTGTGAGTTTTGAGGAAATTTGATCAATAAATCATAAATTTGGATTTGTAACGAGATACTTTCGATATTTTACTTAATAATTTCTATGAGGATTTAATAATTTATTTAAGGATTGCATTAATTGTAATTTGGTTACCCATTAAAATCTAATTTTGATCTGCTCCCAAGGTTATCACGTCAGAATTAATTATGGAACGCCCTTAAATTGCGCGGGAGAATAATTTTTATGGATCTTCTGCCCGCAAATTCTCGGTTTTGGTAGGACGAGGAGATAGGGCGGGCTTATTTGACTCCCTTTTATTATTCACAGTTGTTATTTAAAAAAAAAACATTCAAAAATATTATTAGATGTTTTCTCAATCATAGGGTAATGAATGGCCATAGAATCTTAAAATTAAGCTTATTTTTTGTTCAAATTTATTGAGAATGTGGATTTAGGACTTGAATGATTTATAAGTTTGAAAGGAGATTTGGCCTCATTTCCAAAATAGCTGGAAGTTAATAATACTAATGAGATTTAACAAAAAGGCTTTTCCTTCTCTCAGTAATTCCAGAATCGTAATTTCTATGAGAGGGGCAAAAAATTTCGAAACGGGTAAAGTTTTATTACATATGTTTGCTTTTGCCTCATCATATAAGTGTATACCGCTCCGATCGAGTATTGTTAATTATTGAGGAATCATGTGGTTCAAGCTGTGTTCGAATATTAGCTCCATAGAATGCTTTCTGAATAATTTATTAATTATTTCATGCCTTATGTATTCGTATCTGGATCATCGCAAATCAGCCAGTGTTAGGACGAACATCGCAAAAATGAATGAAACTAAGTTAATTTATTGTATATTGTAATAAAATCAAAATTCTAGGGCACTAGCACAACCAGATCCAAAAACATATGTCTTCAGAGTCGAAAATCTCGCAATGCGTGATTTTATTATATTTTATTTTTCTTTAAGATACTTAATATAGAGTTATATATTAATGGATCAATTTCTGGCCCTTAAAATCTTACATTGGAAAATATACAAAAAATAATTACTCTTATATCCCATATATTAAAAAGATTAACTTTGCTGAGAGGGAATTTTTTATGGGTGTCAATATTAGCTAGGAATGTTTATTAACTTTATATTTAACTGTTTAATTTTAAAATATAATTAATGGCTTTTTTTTCTTTTCTTTAAATTTTATCAAAATTTTTATTATTTTTTTTTATTAATAAAAAAAATATAAAATAGATGGCGTTACTTTTAAAAATAATTATGATATATTTAATAAAAATATGTAATGTATTGGTATTATAATAATAAAAATCCATTAAGTATAACAAATATGATGTCCTGGGTGAATATGTAAGCAAACTCCATATGGATATGATGATTATTAAGACGCTTTAACAATTTTAATATTTTATATACAAACAACTATTTTTAAAAATATACCTCTTGTCTTTATCGTATTCCATTTATTACTTATTGATAAAAATTTTTTCGGCGATCATTTGCAAGTACGCCCTATCGCTGTTATGAGATCTGCTATCATTATTATTTGATTGATGGGCGGCCATCTTATTTCTCAATTGTCTGGTAAAAGAACGATGGGAACGGTCAATGTAATTTAAAAAAATAATTACCCTCTAAATATTTCATTCTTTTTATTAGTTTGGCTAACTACCAAAAATCGTCAAATACATGTGATCGGGTGTTTTAATTTGGGACCACGGTCTGAACCGCCCGACGAATAATTCTTGCCTTAAAAATTTTGTAAATAAATGGTGTTATGTGAAATTATTAGAAACTCAAACGATTCATCTACTTGATGTCTCGGGCAAATACCCATCGTGACCTTGGATCGGCCTTGTACCGTCTCCTAAGATAAATTAAAAAGAAAGATGCTCTAATACTGCTGTGCAGAGAAATACGTTTCTTCTTTTCAAATAGGATAAAATCTACACTTATACTACGGATGGCTGTTACCATCACGGTCATAAAATATGGGACTTATTTGCTAAATAAAGAATATAAGAAATCTTTCAATTAAAACCAACCCCAGTGTGCGTATTGTCGTCTTAATTCCTCGTGGTAAACTTTTTTCTGTTGTAGATTTTAGTATGATAACCAAAATCCCTGCAAAATCGGGTTCCCCTACCCACACCCCTAAAAATCACAGACCATTGAACTTATTTTACCCCCTCCACCCTTCTAGAAGTTCAAATAGAAATGATAAAGGAATCTAGGATATGAATAATTTTTTGAAGGCAGTTAAACGGCACGAAAAATCCACAGCTCATTTGCAATCGATAATTCAATTAAAAAAATATGGCGAAAATTGAATTAAAATATAATAAATTTGATACGCAAAATATCAATAGAAATTTTACACAAAAACAAATACGAATTCTCTTTATTTATAAACCTTAGTATTTTATATGGTTTGATTACTAAAAATAAATTTACAATTGCTTTTCTAGTAGTTTGACACTTCATCACTGAATCACAATAATACTCTGTTAAAATAAAAGGACAATATTTGTAAAATATATTATAAAAATTTTAGATAATAAAATGAAAGAATTTTTATATAAATTCTTTGTACTAAGAATATCATTAAAATATAATATGAAATAGAAAATTATGTAAAAATTATTTAAAAAATACAAAATCATTCTTTTTATCATATTTCATAAATCACTCCGGTAGTAATTCTACAATCAAAATATACTATGGACAGTATTGATTCTACAATGGGTAATGAACAATCCTACAATCAATTATCAATTCAACCAATACATATAATTCACATTTTGAAGCATAACCTTTCTATGTCGAGTGAATGATTGGACGAAAAATAAAAATGACTATTTTTAATTATAATATAACATTATGATTCTCAAATCAAATGATTGAATGGTAAAATTAACTCGATTACGTCAATTAATATATTTTCGGATAAAGTTAATTATAAAACCTGCTGACTTGATAGATAGGAACCCGCCAAATTTTTTAAAATGTTTGTTGTAAAAAGAAGTTAAAAAACCAATTTAAATATAAATATTTATTCTATCCTATAACAGATGGAACTCAACAAAGCGTTATGTTTGATAAGATAACCTCAAGGATCACAAAATTGTGTTATGGGTTGAATATGAATTATGTGTTGCCAGTAATTATTATAATTAAAAAATTATATATATTATATATTTAAAGCCCTTGATAACTCAAAAGGTTGTTAATGGACTCTATCCAGGTGTTACAACTATTGAATTAGACAATTTAGCAGCTGAAACTGCTGCTACTATGACAACCAAGCACCCTGATTATGCCATATTAGCTGCAAGAATAGCCATATCTAATCTTCATAAAGAAACAAAAAAAAGCTTTTCACGTAAGGATTATATGTTTTATATCATTAAAAGTTGAGCACCTTAATTTATATGTGTTTAATTTGTTTCTTTATTTTCTTATTAAATAAGAAATATTTTTAATTAAAAAATTAAAGAAAGTATTAGTGATTTGTACAACTATGTTAACCACAAAAATGGATTGCATTCACCCATGGTTTCATATCAAACCTTTCAGATAGTAATGGAAAATGCAGAAATTTTGGATTCAGCCATTGTTTATGAAAGGGATTATACATACAATTACTTCGGATTTAAAGTATATGAATTTCTAAATTTTCATATTACATATTAGAGGTTGTTTTTCATCTAAATTGGCCCATATAAATTTTTTTGGTTTATAAAATAATTTTATACAAGTTGCCTAGCCCTACTTATAATAAATTTTTTGATAAGAAAGGTATAAATTAACCTGATTCTAACAATTAGAAAAATTCGGAAAAATAATCTCCTGGCCCATAATATTTTGTACAAGTTTTCTATCTAAAAAATATTTCTACTTGGGGATCTGAAACAGTCTGTACTGACCTCAAAAGTATCAATCCAAGTCATATTCAACTAGTTTTGATAAATGGCTCAATTTAGACATTTTTTTTAAATAGGCTAACTCAATATTTTAGTTTAATTACCTAAGCATAAAGATTTTTCCCCTTGGTGACATTTTATATATCTATTGGCAAAATTTTGAGGCTTAAGTAATAATATTTTGGCTAAGATCTTGATCTAACCATTTTTAAAAAATTAGCAAAATTGGGTCTAACAACAATACATTTAGCCATCATTGCCTATATTTTAAATGAGATGATTATCTTAAGGAGAATAAATAAAACAATATACATAATCTTTTGTGAAATTTAGCTGGTTATTAGAAAAAATATTGATTTTTTAATGATATACCAATATAAATATTGGTTAGGTTATTGAGTCTGGGTCAATTTTATACTAATATCAGATTGTTGAATAAATTGGTATTGACACAACCCTAAAATGAACTATGATGATAATGTAAGGGAACATGTAGTTAGAAATAAAATTGAAACCACTAGGTAGAACATACAATTAAAAAATTTTAAATTAAACTATTGTTCCTTTTTAGGAACACATTATGTTATTCTAAAAATTAATTTGTGTTCATAAATTTTTTCTATATCTTCATGCAATGTTATTTAGTTTTAGAGGCACACCCATACTGGCCAATCCGATATTAAATTCCTATTGTTACCAATGCAATATCATATCTTATTGTATTCTATACTAATTGTTAAAATTTTTAATGCATACATCTACGCATCAGTATCTATAATTTAGCTATAACATAAATCATTTAAATATATTATAATGATAATTAGTTATAGCTTATATTCACGAATCTAAAAGTATATTAAAATATTTTTATTGATAAATCACGTTTTTAATATAATAACAGTAATCTATTTACATAATAAACAATATGTGATGAAATTTGAAATAAATTTTTTAAAAACTAAGACGCCATCTTATCGGATTGGATGGTAAAAAAAAATATCGATACACCCCATTTAGTTTTATACAACATTATGTATATCTCATATGTTAGAAACAAATAAATTATCTTAACAATAGTAAAATTCATATAACAATGAAAAAAACTTATGGTAAATAAATAGCAGACCCAACCCTAAACCCAGCCTGAGTACATGGGCCTGACGTATTTTAATTTTTTTTAAAATATACTCTGACTGGAAAATATCCGGGCCAGACCATATTTTAAAATATCTCTTAAACAATTAATTATATATATTCTTCCACAAGGTAATCAATATTCTTTTCAAATATAGATTCATTCATTTAAACTGATAATGATATTTTTACATGTTCAATTTAAAGAAAAAATTAATAAAATTAGCAAATTGGTCAAATAATTCGAAAATTGGAACAGATTATTTCATAGTTTAATTGTTGAATTTTAAATGCACTTGGAATTGTTGATTTAAGATTTCTTTGACTTACTTATAAGTTTGAGGAAAGATTTAGCCCCTTTTACCGAAAGAACTGGAGGTTGATACAATCAAAAGTATAACATATGTTATCAACAAATCAAAGGTTAATCTAATTTCTTTTTGTATTTGTCAAAATTTAACTTTAATGTTAACTAAGCTTAATGTTAACTATATGAAAAAAATGAGACTAAATTCTAAAATAAGAATAAACACAGAAAGGCAACTACTGAATTAGAGAACTAAATTAAGAATTATAAAATAAAAGAAACACGGAAAGGAAACTACTAAATTTGAAAACTAAATTAAGAATTCTAGAAAACGTTCTTTAGGCATATATCTTTATTAAATAGAATATTCATCAAATTAAAAAAATTATTCATCAACTTTATTAAAATTAAAAAAAGTAAATTTATCAACAAAAATGACTGACATTTTTTTTAACTATATACAATAGATAAACAAATATATATATACATATAAAATGATTGACATTATATTACAAAATGTATCATTTACGACATGCCACCCCTTTATGGGCTGTGGCACACCAAAAAAAAAATATTTAAAAAGGGTCGACTTAAGCATATGCAGTATACATCATAAACGGGATGCAGCGGACTTTGTGGGAGTCCTCACAAGAGCAATTGATTCTCCTACAAATCCATATCATCAATAAGTTGGGCTTCCGCAGAAGAGGCGGACGTCATCGGAGCAGACCCGTGAATACTATTTACGGCTCGTTTAAGAATATAGTCGGTCGGGGGGTTTGATGTGCTGCTAGAACAACCGCTGGAGGTGCCAATTAACGCACCACTGTTGGCCAACGGAACCGGTCGCATAGGAGAAAATGGAGCTGGCCCTTGCGTTGCGTCAACCATTCTCCTTCAATAATGCTTGGCAGATCGTCCCATAGCGTTGTCATTGATCGGGGCTAGAGGTTGTCGACCATCTTTACCTAGGCTCGGACATTGACTACGGATGTGGTCATCGTTATGACAATGGAAACATCTTCTCTTACGGAGCCCCCCCCCCGGACGTCATAGAATTCTCCTGCGACATCGGTGCTTGTATAGTCATGCCGGTGTTTTTGGTTGTCAATGTTACTTGAATGTAACAAGATCCCAGATCGATCAAACGGCTGGTTGTTTCCATGTGAATGATAGAAGGGAATATTTGGATATAAGATTGAAAAGGGAAACACAAAAAAAAATTTTTTTTTAAAAAAAATTTAAATTTTACACAAAAATCTTTTAAAAAAAATTTAAATTTTATACAAAAATTTTATGATTAAAAATATAGAAAAACTTTCTATATATAATGTTTATTGCCATAAATATTATTATAATATATTTTACCAAAAAAAACTGATATTAATGTATACTATTTACGGCGCAAAGCACATTATAACAAAAACAAAACCTATTTCTCCCATGTGCTTCAACTTTCTCAATATTATCATCGACAATATCCCTTGGGGTGAGCGTCAAGTGAAACCAATAACATAACAGTATTTGTAAAAGTAATCTAACTCACTCACACGAATCCCCCAAAGTTAATATTATTCATTTCTATTTTTAAAAATAAGTTAGGAAAAATGTGCAACTATGGGACTGGGAGAAATAAATATTCAACACAACAACCAACTTTTCGACCAACATTAATAACACCAGCTATTTGAATACCCTTAAAAAAAACTTTCTATTCATTCAAGAAAAGATAAAAACAAACCCCGGTTCAATATGACCCGACCTCTTTCCCATTTCTTTATTCGATTGTCAAACAATCGGGCCCACACTTTTTGTCCCACTGCGAACCGTACCCCTAAATTTTACTTCCATTGAGGTAATAATCTTCCTTTTGGGTTTTAAGAAATCTAACGGACCCCGTGTTCGCCTACCTAAAAATAATTCTACAGGCGTAACCCCCTCTCGATTGCGAGAATTGAGGTAATACCATTGAGACATGTAAGCCTCCTCTTTATGAGTTCCAGCCTTTTTAATCCAATGTTTAACAATGGCTACCATCCTCTCAGCTTGTCCATTCGAGCTGGGATGGTATGGTGGAGCCAGAATGTGTTTTGTCTGAGACTCAACACAAAACTGTTTAAATTCTTCACTGACAAAAGCGGGTCCCCCATCAGACACTATTGTGTCGGGAAAACCGAACCGAGCATATAACTCTCTTAATTTTTTCACAACAATTTTTATGGTATACCCATGTACTTCTGTATAAAAATATATTATAATAATATTTATGCCAATAAACATTATATATAGAAAGTTTTTCTATATTTTTAATCATAAAATTTTTGTATAAAATTTAAATTTTTTTAAAAAAAAAAAATTTTTTTGTGTTTCCCTTTTCAATCTTATAACCAAATATTCCCTCCTATCATTCACATGGAAACAACCAGCCGTTTGATCGATCTGGGATCTTGTTACATTGTAACATTGATACCCAAAAACACTGGCATGACTATACAAGCACCAATGTCGCAGGAGAATTATATGACGTCCGGGGGGCTCCGTAAGAGAAGATGTTTCCATTGTCATAACGATGACCACATCCGTAGTCAATGTCCGAGCCTAGGTAAAGATGGTCGACAACCTCTAGCCCCGATCAATGACAACGCTATGGGACGATCTGCCGAGCATTATCGAAGGAGAATGGTTGACGCAACGCAAGGGCCAGCTCCATTTTCTCCTATGCGACCGGCTCCGTCGGCCAACAGGGGTGCGCTAATTGGCACCTCCAACGGTTGTTCTAGCAGCACATCAAACCCCCCGACCGACAATATTCTTCAACGAGCTGTCGATAGTATTCACGGGCCTGCTTCGACGACGTCCGCCTTTTCTGCGGAGGCCCCACGTATCGATGATATGGAGTTTTGGGAGAATCAATTGCTCTCGTGAGGACTCCCACAAAGTCCGCTGCATCCCGTTTATGATGTATACTGCATATGCTTAAGTCGACTCTTTTTAAATATATATATTTTTTTTTGGCGTGTCACAGCCGATAAAGGGGTGGCATGTCGTAAAATGATTGACATTTTATTACAAAATGTATCATTTACGAATATATATAAAATGATTGACATTATATTACAAAATGTATCATTTAAGACAGTATTTATGACAATTTATTTCTTAAAATCGCGATTATACCTTTTTTTCACTTCTTTTCACATTTGACTTTATAAGATGTTTTTACTGTGTATATCCATAATTTAATTTAAGAAAATAGCGTAAAAATGTTTCAATAAACCCTAAAAAAAATGGTATACAAAAACTATATAGGAAACTTGTGTTAAGAGAAAATATACGAAATATTAAATTCTTCTCAATTGACCACCTATTTTATGGTCTGCTTTAAAAGATTGGACATCGTTTATCCTTCACTTTTATATGGTATCTTTGAAATGTATTTTTAAATACTAGAATACTGTTTACCTAGCGGAAGAATATATAGTTTAAAATTCCACCTTTCTCGAAACTTTTTTTTTTTAAAAAAAAGAGCAATTTTCTAAAGTTTAAATAACTTGGAATAAATAAATTGTCTGAATACATTTAACTCAAATAATTAAATAAAATGTTTATATTATCTAATATTTTATAGTATTCAAATTTGCCGACAGATAAAAATCGGATGCATTCCTATCCAACACGATTTAACAGCTGATCAATTTTTTTAAAAAAAATTTAAGATTAATATTAATAAAGAGGAATATATATCTCATAAACGGATTTTAAAAAATCGAGCAGCTGTTAAATCGTGTCGGATCGGAACTGATTCCACTATGAATGGGGCCTTATGGACTCATTAGAAAATGTATTTTGGGGGTAGGTTTGAACCTCGACAAAATTTTAAATGTGATTTTGTTGAATTTTTTAACAATCCAGTAAAGAAAAAAAAACTATATCGAACTGGACCTTTCAAGAAAATAAAATATAGGGATTGTAGGTTGGACAATTTTTTTTTCCTCTAAAAAAATAGCCAGACTAGGGCTCTAAATTTGAGCATTTATTTAAATATTATCGAAATTTTATAAATGTATACAATATATAAAAGAACTAGCTAGATCCAGACGGAGAAGATCCAGTACCAGATTCATAGATCTTAAATATTTTTTTTTATAGCCACACTCCTATATTTTTTTAAAATATATTTGATAAAAAAAAAATATAAACCAATTATTCGTAGACCCTGGAAAGATCCTACTTGCTGAAGATAGACGGTAAAGTAGCTGAAAGGCCCCAGCATTTGCTCATGAGGGTTTCTGTTGGGATCCACGGGAAAAATATAGATTTGGCCCTGCAAACCTACGAGCTCATGTCCACCAAGTATTTCATACACGCCTCACCTACTCTCTTCAATTCGGGTACCTGTAGACCTCAATTATCTAGGTTATTCTCAATTAACTTTTTTTCGAAATTGGAGGGGTATACTGTTGCTAATCAGCTGATTCAATCCATATGGTCTTACTTATTTTTTTTAGCATTATGCTTTTGATCGCAAAACTCTAGTCAACATCAGGCCCTTTTCCAGACAAATATAAATAATTTTTCAGTACATGGCCATTAACTGATATACCAGTCAAAAAAAAATAACATCTTAATATTTTGATCCATTTCACTTTTATAAAAATGAAAGCTGCTTCTTGCTAACCATGAAAGAGGATTCGATAGAAGGAATATACACCACTTTGAAGCAATGCGCTCTTATAAGCAAATCCGCTGGTGGAATAGGCCTAAACGTGCATTGCATCAGAGCTTCCGGTAGCTATATAGCTGGAACGAATGGTAATTCCAATGGACTTCTCCCAATGCTTAGAGTCTATAATAATACGGCACGATACGTGGACCAAGGAGGGAATAAGGTTATTTTTTAAAGAAAATAATGAGAGCTAATCATATCTGAAAAAAAAATCTTATATTAGTTGCTATATCTGGGTCAAATTATAAAAGTTTTTTGAATCTTAATTTGTTTTTATTTTGGTGATCTTAATTCCCGCTTCAATATATATTTATAATAATGATTTTTGCAACTTGGAACCCCTGGGAATGGGAGAAATTTAGTAAGTATTTTCTAAATAATACTCAGAGCCAGTTTTGGTTCGGTCCCACTACAGTACTCAGATGGAACTATTTAGCCGCCAGTTTCGTAATATCGTATCCCAAATTATTTTATTTATTTTTTTCTTTCAAAGAGACCTGGAGCCTTTGCTATATACCTGGAGCCTTGGCATGCCGACGTTTTCGAGTTTCTGAATTGCAAGAAAAACACTGGTAAGGAGGAAAGTAGGGCTCGAGATCTGTTTTACGCCCTTTGGATACCCGACCTCTTTATGGAGCGGGTTCAGTCCGACGGCCAATGGAGTCTCATGTGTCCTCACGATTGTCCAGGCCTTTGCGAGGTCTGGGGAAATGAATTCGCCGAGCTTTATACTAAGTATTTTTTTTATATTACCCCATAAGGAAAAACCCTTTTTAACCCTATAGAAAAAAAGGTCATATTTACTTGTTATGAGCTACAGTGTTTGCTAAACGGCTCTAACTCAATATGTTATCAGGAAAAAAATATTACGCGAGCCTTACGATTTTGCTTATAGGTGTCACATAGGTTTGAAACATCTATTAACCAAATCTCGCTCTTAGACAATATTTTTCTGGTTGCAACACTAGTTATTATGACGTATTTTTGCGAGATTTTTTTTAAAAGATGGAATATAATAACCAGCTGTTCATTTCATATCGAATATCTTTTTAAAGCTTACGGGAAAAGAATATAAAACAAAATCCCCCCCCCCCAAAGTGGGTTATATTTTGATGATAAAAGAAAATTAACTGGTAATCCGAAAAATACCATACGAGAATTTACCTTCTTTCAATAATAAGGGAAAAGAAAGCAAAACAGGCAGAGATAGTTCCTATTTTAATGATTAAAGATAGTTCAGAGAAGAAAAAAATCTAAATTGATAAGTTAATTTTTAACCCTATTAATAGCTTAACCTATCTAATGTAATAGTAAATAAAATAAAACTTTAATGGCAGTTATAACCTTAAATATCAATCATTCCTTACGAATTAAAATATTTTTTACAAGGTACGAAAAAGCAGGTAAAGTCCGCCGAACCATCAGAGCCCAAGAGCTTTGGTACGCCATCATTGAGAGCCAGACCGAGACCGGAACTCCGTATATGCTCTATAAGGATGCTTGCAATTCTAAATCCAATCAACAAAATATCGGTTTATATATTCATTCATACTTCATTTACTGTATTTAATTTTTGCTTTAATGTGCAAATGGAATTTAAAATTAATAAAAAATTTCCTTAAATTAAAATAATAAAAGGTACCATCAAATGTTCAAACCTTTGCACAGAGATTGTGGAATACTCCTCACCCGATGAGGTAATCCTCCCCCTCCCCCCTTCAATATTCCATATTGTCCTGCGTACACACATATCTGGATACATTTTTAGAAGACAAAATAAGACAATTATAATTGCTAATTTCATTAATATAGGATTCCCTAATAATACCCGAGACTTTGGTATATAAATACAAAACAGAATCTTACAATGTCGGGTTAAATAAATATGTTTTAAGATGCTTTTTGTGCAAATAAATTATTACTTTTATCCAATTTTTGAGAAATGGCTGATTTTAAAACATTCATTTTTTTGTTATGCTTGAATAATTTGTGAATCAGGGTTTAAAAAAATGAAAGACCAAAGAAAAATATATGTTTTGATTTTTTAAAGGTGGCTGTATGCAATCTGGCTTCCCTAGCCGTCAATAATTATGTGGAATGGGATGCTAACAAAAAGCCTTTCTTCAATTTCCCCAAACTTCAGGAGGTGACGAAAATCGTGACTGCTAACCTGGATAAGATCATAGATATCAATTATTACCCCGTGCCAGAGGTTACCATTCTTTTTTTCTTCTTATATCTACATCGTAAATGTTTAATAGTTTAATATTTGGAGAGGTTAGTGCAAAAATCTGGGCAATTTTAAAGGAAGAGTTCTAATAATCTCTTGATTTTTACTCTTCTTAAATCTTATTTATATTTTAAATTTAGCCTTTATTTTGCCCACACAATTTTTTTTAAAATGTATTTTATTTAAGGTCTAATTTTATTTTTACGCAGGCTGAAAGATCTAACAAACTTCATAGGCCGCTGGGTATAGGGGTGCAAGGACTTGCTGACGCGTTCATTCTAATGAGATATCCCTTTGATAGCCCCGAAGCTAAAGAACTCAATATCCAGATATTTCAATGTATTTACCATTCGGCTTTGACTGCCAGCTGCCAACTGGCCCAGAAATTAGGGATTTATTCATCTTACGAAGGAAGCCCAGTCTCTAAAGGGGTTTATTAAATATATCAATGAGAAGATAAAAAGGGTGTTTTTCTATCGTATCCATAAATGTACAGAATCAAACCTAAAAATTTACTAGGCTTTGAAATGATCCTTTGCAAAGTAAAGTGGTATATGAAATAAATAATTGATTTGTTCGTGAAACAAAAATGTAATCCAGGGGCTTAAGAGGAAGATAATTTATAAAGATGTTCAACATTTTATATTAAATAGGAATCTCTCTTTATGAAAACTAAAGAAAAACACGAGTTTAAATCAGGGAATTAAAACATGTACTAAAAAGAGATTTCATTTAGGATTCTGTCTTTCTGCAAATTTTGCACCAATTCGATTTTTGGATTTATTTTTTTTATTCACCATCATTTTTTGAAAAATGTCATAAAAATTCAATATTTTTATATGCAAAAAAAAATAATTAACATGAAGTATGGGGTTAAACAACCCTGAAATTTTTCCGTTTTTTGATGAATAAGGGCAATATTTGGTCTATTATTATTTTTGATTCAACATTTTAAAATCATTTTTTTTGTTACGAATAATATAAGATTAAGAAAAAGTTAATATCACATTTTTAGCTTATTCTTTCAAAATATTATATTTTTTAAAACTTTACAAATAAATTGAATTTGTAAAGTTTATTATTATTAGTAAATTCGACAATCCAAAAAAAATTAAACATTGTCCAAATAAGATTTTTTTTAACGATTATTGGCACAACCCTGGTGTCAGTTTTAAATATTTAATATTCTTGAAAAGGGCTTATACCTTCCTAATGTTGAAAATAATTTATCGTTTTAAAAAACTAATAGGTGTTCCTCGGGAGACTTAAATTTTATAAGCGAAAAACCTTATTTATTTTTTATTTTGTTAAATAAAGTTTTATTTTACTTTAAAATAGGAATTTTATCGGGCTTAATTACTATACCTATATTTAATTACCCACCAAATATTTAATTCTGGTCCAATCAAACAAGCCAATCCCTACAAATTATAATTTCGAAAATTTTATGGTCAATGTTAAAAGATACAAAATAAAAGTTAGATTTTTGCTCTACAAAATTTATACATCAAGGGACTATGCCTAACTGTTATGTCAAAAAATACAAACATTATAAAATGAAATCATAAACTTTTTAAACAATATTTGTAGGAAAGTTATTTACTGCCAATTTTTTGTAAATTTTAAAAGGGGCTTTGGTTGCACTTTTTATAAATCTTAAAAAGGGATTCTTGTAAAAGTCCCTTGCAAATTAGATTTCTTTCAATTTCAAGTTTGGTCTTTAAATTATTTCATACCTCACCCCAGCCCTCATTTATATTTTTTAAGCCCAGCCCTTTATTATAGCCAAATATCCATTTATCAACACTTTTTCAAAATGTAGAAGAGATTCTTAGTAGACACATATATCATGGTTGGTAAATAGTTTCATTTCAAAATAACCCTTCTACATCTTTCATCATCACGGGTATCTCCTGGGTGGTAGTGTTGTTAAAAAGTCCAATTCGGGTCTATTTTTAAAAACGGCCCAATTAAGATTATTATAACCAAAATAATATCGTGTAAGCCTGATGCCAGAAAGGCTTTTCTACTTGCAAAATCTTGAGGTTTACACAATATAATTTTGGCTCTAATCTTAATCGGACCATTTTTCAAAGACCTAAATCTGGCTTTAACAACACTACTGGGTGATATGATTTCACATCTTAAAGAACGAATCATATAACCAGAGACTTTGCAAAGGACCAAATTTTGGGTCTCTTTGATATACTTTTTTAAAAAAAATCATTTTGGGTTTGTTTCCAAAGGGAAATTGAAAATATGAGCTATAAGTGAATATTAAGCAATCCATTATATGATTTAATTAATTAATGCATATAGCCCAGTGCGAATTCTTTAATAATTTGAATTCCAAAGCCTGGCTTGGCCCGGATTTTTAAGATTATGCCCTTTTCTAACCCATTTTTGGGTGGGGATCTCTCAAACAATATTCTTATAAATAATCTTTCAAAATTAACATATGTTCATATTGCCACAATTCAGATGCTTCAATACGACATGTGGCCTGGCGTGAAACCTGCGAACACCGAGCATTGGAATTGGGACACTCTTAAGGCCGAAATAGCCGAACACGGGATAAGGAATTCTCTGCTTTTGGCTCCTATGCCCACTGCATCTACCGCTCAAATCCTGGGGAATAATGAAAGTATCGAACCTTACACCACCAACATATACACCAGGAGAGTTCTCTCTGGAGAATTTCAAGTTTATTACAATAAATATATTAGAGATGTACTAACTATACCAGATCCTAAAAATTAAATTTTCTATATTTAAATGAATAGATCCTGGACTGGATCCAATACAGTTAAAAAAAAAATTTTGTGTTTAATAAACACTAGAATTATGTAAAGATAAAATATTTCCAAGATTCTCTTCTGTTCAAATTATAATTTAGAGAAAGAATGAATTCCTTGGTTTAAGAACACTTTTACTAACTTCGTTAGCCTACATCTTTAAATAACGATAAATAAAAGTATCAAAATAGTAAATGTATCTTATCAATCAAAACTGAATTATTTAATCTTTTAAAGTTAGGATAATCGAAAGGTTCTAATCATTTTACCTACCTTTTTACGGGTATATATTCGGGTGACAAATTTTTTAACAGTTCAAATCCTATTATGTTCTGTAAATAACAACTTTTAATATCGAACTAGGTTCTTATACCTGCAAAAATCCAACGTCTGGCGAGGATCTGGTTTTTTTTAAAAATTTGGTTATTTGGGTTGACCCAAAAATTTTGGATTGATTCCATTTCTAATCTTTGTTATCGCTCCAGTCCTTTACATTTTAATTTTTCGTATACTTTTAGATAGTCAATCATCATTTGTTGAAAGATCTGACGGATTTGGGCCTTTGGAACGACGATATGAAGAACCAAATGATAGGTAGTATGGGATCTATACAAGTACGTTTTTCAGATTTCTTTTATATAAATCATTTTTAAAAAATAATTGCTGATTGGTGACCACTTAGTCCTTATCAAGCATCTTAGATATTCATTACTATATCTGTACAATTTGCCCAAATTTATATAACATTAAAATAGAGCTTTTGATACGAAGTTCCCCTTCAAATCTTTTATACCTTATATTCTTTCATTTTTCCACCATTGTTAAATACCATTTGCAAAAAAAAAGATAAAATAAATATTATGTTTATCTTTCAAAAAAAAAACAATTTATTAGAAGATAGGCTCTATCCCACCAAATATTAAAGCTTTATACAAAACAGTTTGGGAAATATCTCAGCGAGTTATTATTGATATGGCAGCTGACAGGGCTCCGTATATTGATCAGAGCCAATCACTTAACTTGCACATTGCTCAACCCACTTACGCTAAGCTTACGTCCATGCATTTTTACGCCTGGAAAAAGGTTTCCATGCATTTAATTTTATCAGCAAACATTTTTTTTATGCAAAGAAAAATCTTTGTTTATGTTTAAAATGTTGCGCATAATAAAAAAAAATATATTAGAATTATAAATCAAAAACTAATAATATTTTATATTTCAAAAAAATTATTTTTAAGTGTATTTTTATAATTTAACTTTCATTTTGTCTCTGAAAAATAAATTCTTAGGTCTATGTTTCTTCATTAGTTTTCAAGAAAAACATTTATATTTTTAATTAAATTAAAGTTAGTGATTTTTTGCTAAAATATGTTTAATTAAACAATTTTCAAACAGGGCCTAAAAACCGGGATGTATTACCTCAGAACCAAACCTGCAGCCAACGCTATTCAATTCACTCTTGACAAAACAAAACTCGCTAAGAGTATCGCAAATAATGGGGTCGTCGATACGGAAATAAATGAAAATGATACCCAATCAAATTCCGAAGAAAATGAAGAAAGCTTGGACAACATATCAGCCGACTCTCAAAACGTCGAATTTAAAAGGAATCACGACACTTTGCTCAAACAAAATGGCCGACCTGAGCTGGATGACGAAAATTTATCGGAGCACGAAAAGGCGAAATTATTATGTTCCCTCAAAGACAAGGAGGCCTGTTTAATGTGCAGTGGATGAAATAAAAGAAATTAATATATCCCTTCATATTTTTTTTTATAATTTTAAAAAAAAAAAATGTTTGTAATTATTTAGAAACTTATATTATATGCACCAGTGACATAATTTGTATATTAACCACCTATAACTAGCGTTGTTAAACATTGATTTTGGCCAAGATAATGTTAAGTGAGCCCTAGAGATTTGACAAAGAGAGGTTCTGTATTCTGCCACCTTTGAGCAACATTTCCAGGCTTTACGTAATATTATTTTGACTAAAATCTTAATCGGGCCGTATTTTTTTAAAAAATAATAATAATAAATATGAAAAATATAGTTTTAAACACTTAGGGTTCTAAATCAATTATTTTGATTTATGAAATATATGTACAACACTTAATTTAGTTAAGAAAAATTAATAATAGTGAAACATTTATCACATAATGCCAGGAGGTTTAAATAATTTACTATACAACTAAACACTCTTAACAAGATACTATCATTTATCAATATATTAAAGTAACAAAACAGAAAAAAACTACTATAATCTTTATTATAAACTCAATTATTATTATTTTTTTAAAAAAAGAGAAGATATTTTCATGACTAAATATAATATATTAATATTAAGGGATAAAATTTGAAAAACATAAATATCATTTATAATATATAATACATATTATGAAATTTCCTTTTTTTCTTAACACGGTAATAGGTTGGTTGTGTGCTTTGCATAATGTAATAAACCTATGAGTGATAGACAATATAAAATAAATAATTGGGGAAAGAAATTAAAATTCTAATCCAAATTCGTTCATTAGAACTTACTAGATGATTCAGCTCATAAAAGGATGCCAAGAATATAAAAAAAACACATTGTCAGGGCGATTCATTGCTCATTTTTTGGTTCAAAGAACATAATTTAACTTTTAGGTGGCAAAATAATATGTACAGGGAAAATACTGGTAAATGAGTTTGTGCCTAAGACGAGAAAAATTATGTTAATTATATTTGATTGAAGAAAATCTTTAAAACCGTTGGCAAAAAAAGAGATAGTTTCAACAAATTTAATAAAAGTGTTAAATATAATCATTAATTCGAGGGATAATTAAGAATGAACTTTAAAAAAATGATCGATATGATTCTAAGGAACGGGTAATAAGATTATAGGATTCGGTATTCTAAAGCTCTTAAAAGAAAATCCTAATAATTTGATTCGTAACCTACTTGTCAATAATATTAGCAATAGGTGTAAAAAAAATTTCACATTAAATATTCTTACGAGAGATTTTATATGTTTTGTGTGGAAGAAAAAAAAAATTTAATGTGTGACGACATCTTTTGGCGATTTTCGGCGTTTTCTTCTTCGGCGAAAAAAGCAGCATTTAACTTCGTCCACAACCTCGACATCACTGTAAATTGCGGCTTGATCCGTTGTTTCGGCGTGACGAGCGAAGGGGGGCAGCTGATTGCTCACCTTTTTGTGTTGGGAATAGGAATTACTGCTTCCGGGAGGTGGGTGGTCATTGGAAAACGTCTTTGGCAGCAGCAACTCCCTGTGATGATTGACGTCGGTGACGGGAGCCGAGGCAACTTGTTCTACAGGCAAGGGATTTAGAGCGAGTGCAGTGTTAGGGTGGTGCTTGGCAGCCGGGGCAACTGACGTAGAAGCTGAGGGAGACTGTTTGTCGGTCCAATCGAATATGCCGTCATCTTTGAAGCCCTTGCGAGTGAATATCTCGCTTTAATTATTAAACATACATTTTTTTGTTAGTTATAAGTTATTTTAAAATTCGTATATACAAAGAACGATGGGGTTGATTCAAATTAGTACAAATTTTTCTGAATTTATACTGAGATACTAAGCAATAACGTGAAATTTACTACTAGGGAAGCGCTTAATTTTAGATTAAGATGTACGTATTAACGAGCACAACTTGTCTTTGTTTTTTTTTGAGTTCGAATAGTCGATAACTAAAATTATACAAGTAATTTGCTAGATTTTTACTATAGCATGTTTTCAATTGAAATCACTACGTGTTGTTAAACGGACCGATTTGAGCCGATTTTTTGAAAACGGCTAACTCGATATATTATTCAGAAAAATATTACGCGAGCTTTGAATCTTTTGCTCACAGATGGCAAAAGATTTTTGACAATCCATTAGCGAAATTTCAAGGCATATCCAATATATATATTTCCGGCTAAAATAGGGAGCTAACCGCTTTTAAAAATCGGCTAAAAGCGAGCCATTTTACAACACTAGTTTCTACAATAAGTTTTCCCAAACTCTGAAGTTGATTGGTGCCAATGTTAGGATTAAAAGATTTCGATTATTATTTCCCAAATTTTGTAAAGTTGTAGATCCCATGTTGTTGATATTCAATTTCTCTTTTTTTTTGTCATTTCAAAAAAAAATTTATCGAATTTAAAAAGATATTTCAAATAATTTTTTCAACCAACACAATCGCAATTAATAGACATTTTAAAAAATTTTATCTTTCACGTTTTATTTATTTTCCGTCGTTTATTATTTTATTTTGAAACGTAAAATTAGACATTTACATTTCATTTTGATTTTCATTTTATTATTTAGTTTTCCAAAAATATTTTTTTTTAGCGTATGTCCAAAAATATACGCTACGCAAAACATCCGAAATTTGAAATTCGCTCTCTTAAAGGGTAGTAAAAATAATCACGTAGTATAAGAATAGTATTATTTTTTGTTTTCAACGTAGCATAAAGATTGTCACATGTAAGTGTAACATATGTTTTATTCCCAATTAAAATTTCTATTTATTATTGTCTAATGGCGTTAATATTACATGTCCATTTAAATGATTACTGTATAAGGCAATACGTAACTTGATATATAGTATATTTTATATATAATTTCAGAAAAAGAAAACCCAAAATTTTATGTTATCGGGCGATACCTTATTTTGATTAAAAAATGATATTCAAAACAAATAAAATCTTCGTCTTAAAAAAAAGAAGATTAATTCATAATTTTAAAAAGAATTCTGATTGGGTAAATAGTTAACAATAAACTATTCATTCTCGATCCAATACTGCCGTTTTCCAAGGACTTATATTATCGATCACTACGTACCGACTACTAGCCGTCATTTTTTTTAATTTACGAGGGAAGCAATAATTCCTTTGCTTGCTTCTACGGACTCTTAGTCACTGAAACTATTATCCGAAAGTAGTGTTGTTTTAAACGGGCTCGATTTTCGCCGATTTTTAAAAACAGCTGTTTACTCGATATTTTGTTCACCTAAAAGGAATTAACCGACGATTCAAAATCGTATTTTTAAACGGATAACAAAATTAATCGAATTCTTCGTTATAATTTTGAAAATTATTCCTAAATATTTAACATTTTCCCTTGCTGCGGAACTTTATTTCCGCAGCTATAAATCTCCTTTGAAACTTTGGGAAAAATCTATTTCTGGAAAACATTTCGAAAGAATTCGATTTTTTCGAATAAAGAATAATGCGAATATTCGATTTACCTTGTGGGTGATAATTAATAATTATAATATACATGTCTGTTATTAGGATCAATAACATATAATAATATCTAGACTGACTTGAATGTTAAATCAGCTGAACCCGTCATTTTGGTAACCTATCATATAGTAATTATTCTCACGTTAAAAACTACTATTAAATTGATAACTTTGCTTCCTTATTATCTCGATGGTCATGCAATTTTTTAAATAAAGTTTACGTCAGACATAGGAATATCGACCCCAGCTGTTTTTCGTTGATGTGCACTTTTAACGAATGCATCGTCAGTCTAAGTATTTATCTCAATTTTAAATCTCACGTGACCGGAAATGTATTTCGGAATAATTTTGGCCATTAACAATTATTTTATTTTTTTTTGGTTTATACGAAAGAATGCATAAAAATTATAAGTTAATTGGCGGCAAATGTGTTTGAAATTTGACTATTCATGCTGGAATAATAGATTTTTGATCTCAAAGTATTTGAGTAAAATTTGGCACTCATTTTTGGTTCCACGGAGAATGAGAAATTTTATGCGTTTCAGAGAATTCGTTTTGAGACGTGTTTCCAAACCCAATGTTTCCGACCAATAACATAATTTATTAAATTTTTAACCACTAACTGATTAGAATAATGCCTCCTCCTTAATCGTAGCAAGGAGGTTTGCCTATGCGCAAATGCAAAATATCCAAAATAGTTCTCATTGGTTGTGAAGGTTTATCAAGGCTCCTTTTGTTTTAATAGTGGGGTAACAAGCTAGTGTTGTTTGAACTATATCTACCTTTAGTCAACTATAAAACAGAGCAGCCATATTTTTATTTCGGAAATATTCTAATCAATCTTCAAGTTGGGGCTCAACTTAGAAGCCTAATACAATTTTTTAGTCTAAAAAACCTGACTAGGACACAATAGAGATGGTCAAAGCAAAGTTAGCTAATCTAACAACACTAGTAACAGCTCTAGTATAAAAAAACGAAAAACTCTTAATCTTATCAAACATTTCCCCTTCAAATAGAATTAATTTTGTTAGAGTAAAATACAGGAATGTTAGAAGAGAAGAGAAGTGAAGAGAAGAGCCCTTCCTTCCTTCCTTCTTTCTTTAGAAAGAAAGAATAGACAATCGGAGAATTGTTTGATGAGCTCACTTTCACGGTAATAAATTACGATGGTTGAAAGTGTCGCTTTATTATAGTGTTTGTTAAACGCTATTTTTGAAAATTGAAAGGTTACCGTTAAACCCAACCTAGCAAAACCGTTAAACCCGACCTGACAAAAAATAGAGCGCTGTCGGTTACCGCTACCGCTATTTATTTATTTTTTCACAAAAAAAAATTTGATACTTTATAAAAAAAACAATTAATTTTTTTTTATTTATCTAATCTAATCTATATTCCCTAAATTTAACATTTCAAATTTTAAACATGTAAAGAAAACATTGATTTCACAAAATAAAAATTTTAATTAATTTTTTTATTTATCTAATCTATATCCGTAAAATTAACATTTTAAGCATCTTATAAAAATGTAAAATATAATATATTATTATTTTTTTAACGCATTTTAGCAGTTGTTTAAAGTATCTAGATACAAAAATGTAGTATCTGTAAGATTACATTAAATTTTTGATAATTTAATGGGTTTTCCCGACAGGCATAGTAGGATTCAATTTTAACAATAAATTATTGGTAAATTGCCCTGTTTTTAGAATGCCACTTTTTTTTAATCTTCTCCATTGCCTTCCAATAGTTTGAATATGTATCGAGGGGTCAGATCTCGGCACAAAATTATAGTGCAATTAAAGTTTGATCACCCTTCCAAGCTATCTGTGTCATGGTTATAGAATCCTTGTAGACATGTTTTTTTTTAATTATCCCTATATCTATCCCGAGAGACTACTGCTTCGAATCCGCCAACAATCCAGAGAGTTCTAATGGATAGGAGATGTGTCTTATCCAATTTCTGTAATCTCTCCTGCTCCAACTAAGCTTATATACCATGTTGTCTTCAATAAAAATTTAATTTTTGACTGGCTAGACCACCGGACCATGTTGTCAGACCGGCCGGACCAGATCCCCACTTAATCTATCAATTATTGACCTTAAGTCATTAATATTGGATTCAATGTTCTAATCTAATTTTTTTTTAATTTACTAATCATTTAACCCTAAGGTAATATAATTTGTTACTGTTGAGCTAATATTTCGTTTCAGATATTACTTAGAACATCATATATAAAGGGCCTTTAAATTTTCCTTAAAGGTGTTTAATTTGACAAGGAATGACCCACAAAAATGAATGTCTTTACAAATAAACGAAAGTGGCCTAAATGATTAATTAAAATTTAACAATTATTACTAATAACGAAAAATTATAATATTTTGTAATGTCTCATTCAAATTTTTTATACATGTATTATTAAAATTTAACAAATCCAATAAAAAATAATAATATCATTTTTAGCTCGCTTTAAAATATTTTAACGATTAGAATCCTAAATTTAGGCATTTTATGTACACCTTATCTGTATCAAGATCCCGATCCTTTTGAAATGTATCTTATTACAACTTCTGCCATTTTGATTACGGCATCGGATCGTCGCCGATATCGGATCTAACCGGTTCGATCAATTAACAAAGATATTAGCTATTCTATCTCCTACCTGTCCTCTCTATTTGGAGGGTTAATGCTCAAAGGTTTCTAACTTTGGGTACACCTAAGCATCAACTCCTACGAGTGTTCCATCAGAATGAGCCTTCAGCACAGCTGGTGATGTGATATAGTCATAGTTCCTTCCATCTATGACTAAAATCTTCAGACTTGCGTGATACTTTTTCTGGATCAAAGCCGCTTAACAACACTAGATATAAGATGGACCTCATAGGAGAAACTTATTTACCGCGTAAACTTGAGGCGTTTATTTTTTGTAAAGGAAAATATCCGCATACAATATTATAATTTTTAATTATTTTATTAATTGATATTTAATTTGTTTTTTTTTAAAACTATTTATTCAAATAAAAGGTGCATAATTTTGTTTATACAAAAGAATTTAATGCGATATATATATCAGACTTGCAGGCCCTGCCCTAAACCCGGCCCGCTGTATATTTTATAACCGAATATTTGAAATCGCCATCATTAGCTATAAAAATCAAAAATAAATATAAAATATTCTTAAAAAAATCGGGGCCGGGCATGAATATATAAAACCCGGCCCTGGCCGAAA